GTGTGTGAGAGTGTGTGAGTGTGTGAGAGAGTGTGTGTGTGCGTGTGTGCGTGTGCGAGTGTGTGTGATAGTGTGTGTGTGAGAGTGTGTGTGTGTGTGAGAGTGTGTGTGTGTGTGCGTGAGTGTGTGTGAGAATGTGAGAGAGTATGTGTGTGAGTGTGTGTGTGTGTGTGTGTGTGTGTGTGTGAGAGTGTGTGTGAGTGTGTGTGTGTGTGTGTGTGTGTGTGAGAGAGTGTGTGTGTGTGTGTGCATCAACAGCAGAAGGGCAGACTGACAGATGCAGAGTGCGACAGGCCGTGCACAGTCTTGTTTTCCTGCTGTCTGTAACGAGCCTGACAAAAGCCCCTCAGTGGTGAAGATTAATGCACACACACACTCACACACGCAGCAGCATATTTCTCAGCGTGTGTCACTGTTGGCTCCGGATGCGTTTAGAGTCGAGGAGAGAGTGTGTGTGTGTGTGTGTGTGTGTGTGAGTGTGTGTGTGTGATAGTGTGAGAGTGTGTGTGTGTGATAGTGTGTGTGTGCGTGAGTGAGTGTGTGTGTGCGTGTGTGTGTGTGTGTGAGTGAGTGTGTGAGAGAGTGTGTGTGTGTGTGTGCGTGTGTGTGTGCGTGTGTGAGAGTGTGTGTGTGTGTGTGTGAGTGTGTGTGTGAGTGTGTGTGTGTGAGAGTGTGTGTGTGTGCGTGAGTGTGTGTGAGTGTGTGATAGTGTGTGAGAGTGTGTGTGTGCATCAACAGCAGAAGGGCAGACTGACAGATGCAGAGTGCGACAGGCCGTGCACAGTCTTGTTTTCCTGCTGTCTGTAACGAGCCTGACAAAAGCCCCTCAGTGGTGAAGATTAATGCACACACACACTCACACACGCAGCAGCATATTTCTCAGCGTGTGTCACTGTTGGCTCCGGATGCGTTTAGAGTCGAGTAACATGATGCTGTCGGACTGACTCCCAGAATCCCAACAGCACAGACACCTGATGATTCAATCCCAACACACACTAGTGATGATCACACACAAACCACTAACATATAATCCATAAGAACGCTTCCTCCAGTGAAAAAGTGTTCTGGTGTGAATCAGGAGAGAAATCAGCACTTTTTCACTGGAGGAAGCGTTATTATGGATTATGGACTCAATGCTGGATTAGTTTCAGTTTTTGTCTTCTCCAGATGTTAACTGATGGACTGGAGTGCTGTGATTACTTGTGGATTATTGTGATGTTTTTATCAGCTGTTTGGACTCTCATTCTGACGGCACCCATTCCCTGCAGAGCATCCATTGGTCTAAAAGGAGTCTGATGTGTGCGTGACCGGTTGTTGTTTGCAAACAAAGCAGCGTGTTCTCATCTACAGACGTGTTCAGTCGTGTCTGAATTCATGAACACAAACAGCGTTGCAGCTTGAAGCTGAATCTTGTGTTTCAAATGCAAATGTCTGTCTTTAGACTGTTTTTCAGCAGATTCTGGATCTTTCATGAAGAGGCCAGTCGCTCACAGCCTCATAATCAAAAACATGAATTCCAGAAGCATTACTGGCCTCGGGCTGTGCATGCTGGGAATTAACGCCGCTTCTCAGCACTTGAAGCACTGAAATCGTGTGATTTTGGCATTACGACACAATTCAAGATGCTTGAGAAACATGAATTACAGGAATCAGCCTGGAGTTTGTTCTAAACGACCCGTTTAACGTCTTCAGATGACTGAACTTCAGCTGAGAGCCACTGTGAAACATTCACTGGAAGCAGTTCATCCCTGCTAGTGTTACTATAGTCAGTGTGGGTTAAACCATATGACGAGAGACTTCACTAGGACATCTGACTGTGAAAACACTCAGAACACCCTAGCAACCGCACAGCAGAACCCCGGCAACCAGCCACAACAGGCCAGCGCAGTGATATTAGACAGTCGCCTCGTCTCTGTTCTTCTGTCCTGAGGAATTCTGGAAAGCCCCTCGGCCTTGTTCTGAGTACAGACGACAGAGATTCACGTGAGATGAGTGTGAGCCGCTGTCTGACGTCAGCTCCTCCACCCAAACTCACACTCACTCAACACACATCTTCTGTCTGACTCGAGAAGGTTTCCTGGCAGATTTTACAGCGGTTATGAGCTGATGAAATCCGAAGCGTCTCTCTGCATGTTTCACGTTTTTTCTGACTTCAGATCTGTGCCAGCTTTGTTCTCCTCAAACTTCAGTCTGCGCTTAGACGAGAGCGCCACCTTCTGACTGCAAGTGTTTCAACAGGTTTACCAAGTTTCCCAGGTTAAAAAAAGTACACTTCCATAATGTACTTAAAGGCACAATATGTAATTTTCGCCGCTGGAGGGCGCGTATTCAAAATAAACAAATAGACAAAGGCGTAGTTTGATGACGGCGTGACTGAGTGTGGAATCATGGGAGTTGTGGTCTTCATCCTCACAGCCGACGCAACCCGACGGGACTCGGCCAGAAATCAT